TTAAATTAATGTTTTTTTCCTTGTTTAAAGTTTCCATTTTTTTATATGAGGTTCCCTCCCCCGCCCCCCCCCGCCCCCCAGTACTTGTTCATTTGGCAAAAGTAGTTTTTTAAAAGCTCGTTTTGGATACGGTTACCCATTTTTAAGTTGGATTAAGGCATTAACTTTTGTGATCTAAGGGACGTTCACTTAGATAATAACATATTAGGTAGATAAGGTTTGACTATGCGTCAACAGCTCACTGAGGACAGCTCAGCAAACTTACTAACGTGAGATGGGAATGTCGTGATAGTTTAGAAATTAAATTCAGGTTTCAGTATAATCATTAAAATGATTGTGACATGTTTATCTTTAAGTTGATCATGTTTTTCATGTTTTTTGGGGATATATGCATTTTTTTACTTGAATAATTCCTTTCTTCTTTATCTTAATGTTTTCCCTTATGAATTAGACTTATAGGAGCATCCGTCCCCATAGTTCCTATAATGTTTCATTGAGAAGCTTAATGTGATTTACTAAAGAACAAGGTTACTCAGATCAGTGGCAATTTGCAATTAGTGGTCAAGTTTTGGTGCACAATTTCTTACATTCTTTCTTATTTACTTTTTTTTAGCTCCCTGTGCTCTCTTACTTGTGAAATTGTTAGATATTTTGACCCGGAGCTTGCTTTTGCAAAATGGAAGGGAAACAGGCAGAAGGGAATAGCTGAGTCCAGAGGGAAAGACAAGGACAAACACCACAGGGCGCTCAGCCCCCCATCCTGTGTGTAGGGTGGTGCTCGAGGGTTCCCTCACCTCATGACCCACCCCCTTCCTTGGCTTTTCACAGTCCTCTGGCCTCAGGGTGTGTATTTGGAATGAAACTTTTATTTTTAATTAATGGGGGGGGTGGGGTTGTAGGTGGTTTATGACCCTGTAGCAGAACTGGAACTTTGACTTGTTTTTTAAAAAATCTCTATAGAACACATTTTTAAAACATAGGGGAAAATACTTGTCGTTTCACAATATAAAGCTAAAGGCCTTCACTTCACTTAGATCTGAGAATACATTTAGAACACTACTGCTTCCTAGTGTAGTAGTAATTTTGCTTTTCCTCCATTAAAGAAGCACCTAGAAATCTATTGTTTTTCTTTTGGATCTCGGAGGTTGGGTTTTCTTGACTTCTTTATTTCTTCATTATGTAGTGTCTGTAGTAATTTGGTACGTTTATGATTTCAAAACAAAATAAATGTCCTAGTGTATGGCCCAGCAGAGAATTTGGAGCAGGCGCCAGCCCGCTTGCTACTGCCTGGCTTCTGGTCCTTAATGCTGGGACTTGTTAGCCTGAAAGAACAAAATGAACAGTATTCTTTGTTGCAATATTTTCTATAAAAATAACACTTTCAAAAGAATTTTTATCCCCGGCAGTGTAAAACTTGGCACCTAGCAAACAAGAGGACTCACAGATGTGTACAGACACTGTCGGCCCCTCTGGAGCTCCTGAATTCCTCTCTCATAGTACTTCTCCCAGTGTCTGCAGTCCAGCTCACCGAGTTTTATTTGGTCCCCTTGGAACTTGTCCATACAGGGTTTTTTCTTTTTTTTCTTTCTCAGCCTGATCATCTGTGGGTATGTAGTTTGAGGTTTTTTGGTGTGTATTGTTAGATTTTTGTCCAGAAAGTACTGTAAGATGTTCGGGCGGGGGTGGGGGTGCAATGTGTGGTTGGGGGGGTCATCTCCTTTGGGAAATTTATCTCACTGCTCTGTCTGCTCCTTTCACAGCTGTTCCTTCCCTTCTAACTTTACTGCTAATTCAAAGAGTTAAAAAGCCATATGTGAGCAGCTGTTCACTATTTTCATTAGAACAGAATAAGAAAGAAAGGACCCAACTATTATCAGCACCGATTTTGGTTAGATTGTAGAAATAATATGGCAGTTATGATAGAGTGTAACTTGAGTAAAAAGAGAGAGTCGTAGAATTTTTAGAAAATTTAGAAGAGCATAAGATAGTATTTGCTGAAAGATGAGAGGAGTTGAAAGATGAAAAACTGACTGAGGAGGGGATAGTAAATAACTAGTTTTTGAATTCCTGTTCTAGTTCAAGGATTTTATGATTTCATGCTGGTGTTTGTTCTCTCACAGACTAACTTTTCCCATGACTTTTCTGTGCTTTAAGACTCTTCTGTACAGTTGTAAGCTCTTTAAGCTGATTTATACTCATTTTTGAATTCATATCTTAGCTATAGACATTTATTGACACTCAGGTGCTGAATTGAAATTTAAAATTTGTTTGCCTTTAGTTTAAGAAATGTGCTCAGACAAAAAGAAAAACAATAGAAAAAATTATGGTCATTATATATTGCTTATGAACTACAAATGTGATGGTTTGATCTTTTCTTGTCACTAGTCCTTCAGAATATAACTATTTATTATAATTGTGCTTTAGACTTTTACATAAAATAATACCTTGTATTTATTAAATAGGAACTGTGTGCCTGGCAAAGGATAGCTGATTTAATAGGTAGTGTATTGGTTAATTCTCACAATAATCCTGGGAATTGTATGAATATAAAATTGAGAATACATTATGATTTCATTGGAAAAACTCACACAGACACATGTACACGCATATGTTTGAAAGGCTAGAAAGTACTACACCAAAATAATAACAATGCTTGCTTTTAGGTGTTGGGGAAACAGTTAATTCTTATACTGTGCTTTATAGTTTTTTATAGGCTGCACATATTATATATCAGTTATCTTTATAATCGTATGAGATGGGAATAGCTTCTGTTCTCACGTTCTAACACCTTGGCACGCCTTACGTATATGCAACAATTTCCAAATCTCCGTCCTCACCATCTCACGTATTTAGGAGCTGTAAAAGAATTTTATATATTTTTAGTAGTTTTTGTACTAATTTGTGTGAAGACATATTTTGTCTTTAGACAAAGACTGTGTCTTTTAGGAGACTTTTCTTATTCTTCCCTAGATTACAAAAATTTTGAGAACATTGTTTCATTGGTCCTTGTACCTTTGTAGTCCCTAAGACAGCCCGGCACATGGAAGATAATTGGAAGTGAATTCCTCAATTTCCAAACACGTTTCTTTTTTTCTTTTAAGGTAACTCTCAGTTATACAGTTGCCCAAAGTCTGAGTCCTGGCTGTTGCCCTTGATTCCATTTTCTTTTTCACCACCTCTCCAAATCTAACTAATTCTTGTTAAAGTGGATGAAGTGGTTGGGAGAACAAATTGGCATTGTGCATCAAGAGACCAATAAATGTCCACACCTTTTAATCCACTAACCTTACTTCTTAAAATAAACCCAGGAAAGCAATTCAGAAATTAATCGATCTCAGGATTATGGCTGGGAATACAGCATTCTCCTAGTTCTGTGGACAAAAGAAAAATGGCCAAAAAACCATGCAAGTTCAGTTGGGAAAAGCAGTCTTTTCCTGATAATAACAAAGAAACACCCTCCCCCCTTTTTATGGATTTGTAGATTGTTTTCTGACTTTTCTTCCTCTTCATTTCCACTTGCCTCTTAAATGTATGTGGTGCCCAACACCCACATCTCTCCGACTGTGGTTGGCAATTTTAGTGGATCATGTGTATTCTGTTGTTTGTGTGTAGAGATCTCTATTCTGTTTGTGATGCTTACCTGTCACCTGCTCAGTTTTCATCTTTTGAATATGCTATCCCACATTTTAATTTTAAAAAAATTTATCTTATTTTCCCTACTGAACATTTCCCCCTCTGTGGTTCACATTCTATCAATCCGCCTTGACATCTTTATCTTTAAATTCTCCCTCTTTCTTGCTGCACCCTCAGAACTCTCCCCTATAGACCTGCAGTGTCTTTCTGGTGTGTCTTTATCGTCTGCGTGGGCTCACTCTCGTTCAAGCTTGTTTCTTGTTTTTGAGGATGTTTGTGATCAACAGTTTGCAGTTGGACTCCCTGTGCTCGCTCTCCTCTAGTGAGTCCTGTCAGTCTTCCTGATGCGCAGGTCAGGCCATATCGCTTTCTAGACTAAACCCTTCCAGGGTTCTTCAGGAAACAGAGATCCTTGAACTCCTTCATCTAGTCTTCAGGGTCCTCTACTTCTATATGGCCTCAACTTACAGTTCTAATTTCACTTCTTTCCCTCAATTTTTTTCCTCTCTTATCCTTGTCACACTTCCTTCTAAGTCTTTCATCATGTCTTGGCCTCTACCTGACCATTTCCCTGTTTTCACATTCCCAGGTCTCATCTGTGCTTTGAGCGTTGTTGGCTTTCAGGGCTGCGCTCTGGCTGGAGGGCCTCTCTTCCTGGGAACTCCCAGAGGCCTTTCTGGGTCTTTGTTAATGTGATTAGGACCCTTTCCCTCGTACTACAGTTATTTGTGTGCATGTCACCGGTACTTGTTAAATTCTTTAAAGTCTGTATTCCTGTTTTATTTTTTTCTATTTCCTAATTATCTGCTATGTAGTTCTTAATACATATTTATTAGGTAAATAATATGTAAAGAGCTAGCTTATTTGGGGAGTATTTTGCAGTTAAGAGCAAGGAACAAAATTCTGAGGATATTTCATTAATATGCCAAAGACAGAAAAGATTATGTGTTCCATAAAGACCTACAGAAATACATTTGCAGGCATTTGCTAAAAAAGAAATGTAAGAAATTATATATATAGAGATGAGACCTTGGGTCACTGATTCAAACCATTTTCAGACAGATGAACCTAACTTTTAAAGCCTAATTTTTAATAGAAGATAGATTTAACAGTGTGTTCAGTCATTTAAACAGTAATTTATGCAAGGTTTGCAAGCAGAAGCATTTTGTTTTTCTTTAATACTTCTATAATATGCAGATTACATTTTATGTGCTCCTAAGTAATCTTGATACTGTTGGAATTTCTTTTTAGGATCTTCATGATTTTTAAACGATTCTGTTCCCTCTCTTGCATTTCTTTTGTTGATATTTTTCTTAAGTCCTCTCTGTCCTGGCAAACTGATATGCACAAACTGTTCTATTTTGCAGGTATCCTGGTCAGATATAGGCGGACTGGAAAACGTCAAGCTGAAACTGAAACAGGCTGTGGAATGGCCCTTGAAGCACCCGGAGTCTTTCACCCGAATGGGTGTTCAGCCACCTAAAGGGGTTCTCCTGTACGGGCCACCTGGGTGCTCGAAAACGATGATCGCCAAGGCTCTGGCCAGTGAAAGTGGGCTCAATTTCCTGGCCATAAAGGTATGGCATTAAAGTTTTAAATTGCTACTCTTTATTCCAGCCTCCAGCACCCATCCTGTGATTCCTTCCATTCCGAAAACGTGAGAAAGCCACTTAAGGGGTAGCTGATTTTCATTTGAGGTTGATGGCAACGGAAAACGGGGAGATGGGTAAATGAGTGTGAGTCATCAGCACACCAAGGCGGGCAGCCGAGGGCTGCTTTATTCAGTCTCTTGATTCTCAGCATTTCTTACATTCATGTGTAATAGACGCCAGTCTTTTTTAGTTTTTACATTTTTAAATTGTACTGATTTAAAAATGTAGAATTTTGCTTAACCAAGACTTTTACATAACCAAGACTTAATTATAAATAAATGGGATTGTGAATTTAATATTTACATATACAGAGTTTTCAAAGAATTCAGGTTTTGTGTATGGTAAAGCTAAATTCCTTAAAAATTTTGCAGTCAGAGAATATATGCACATTGTTTAATACTCTGTGAAGTACACGTGCACATTTTATTTGTTCACTGCCCTGCCATGAAACTTGGGTTAGATAATCCTATTTGATACATTGTTATACATTTACTTGAAGAATAGATATTAATTTTGTTATTAATTTTTGTGGAATACAATTATAAAGCCATTTACTAAATATACATACATAAAACTTTAAATATACTTCTGTGGACTTTACCACAAATATATGTATTCAAATATATTAAATTGCTGGTTCTTGTCCTTTTACGTTGTGGTGATGGACAGGGCCATTGTACCGGCATTTTCTACTTTACTGTCATCTCCATTTTTCTGTGCCTACCTTGTCATGTAATTCTTCAGTTGTATATGATAAACTTTGAATTTTTCCTGTCTACTAGAAATTTGAACCTTATTTGATTAGGACTCAGCTCATAGTTATTTGCACTTGAATCTCAAGGAAAATTACATATATTTTCTTACAAATCAGCACCTTACTTTTCATGACCTAAAATAACAGTTCCAGATGGTACCAGGACTGCTCTCTGGCCTCTACTAGGATTACTTAAAAATATATTTATTACCATTTTTTAATATGAAACTTTTCATAACTTCAGATAGTTTCACTTTTGTCTTTTTTCAGTGTGAGAAAATGATTCAAAGGTTCTTTGAAAGGTTTCTCTTGGACACTGTTCCTGTAAAATAACCAACCATGTGTTCAGCTTTTTCCCCCAAATTTTATCATTGATTGACTTGAGAAGGAGGGAGAGGTAAACATTGATTCGTTGTTCCACTTACCTGTCCATTCACTGGTTGATTCTTACGTGTGCCCTGACCAGGGAACTGGCACGTAACCTTGGGGTATCAGGACGACGCTAACCAACTGAGTGCTCTGCCAGGCTGTGTTCAGCTTTTTAATTAAGTTTTTAATTCCTTTAGGTTACGCAGACAAAAGATAAACGATGTTAAGAAATTTTCTTAATAGTATGCATTCAGACTTGCCTAGAGATTATCACACCCTGACTTACTAATTTTTATTTAATATGGGGTTTTATTCAGTGTAGAATTTATTGTATTTCACAGTACTATTTTTGAATTTGGGTGGAGGGTATATTTAATGAACAATGAGTATTCATTTTACCATTTTTTTCAACTTTGCTATATGTTTAAAATTTTTCAGAAGTAAAAGCTGGAGGAAGCATGTAAAACCAATTTGCTTTCCTTTGTATTTTCATTGGTTCTTTCATCTTGGTCTGATCTTGTGAGAAAAGCTAAAGTAGCTTTGGCACACAGCTTACAGATGAGGAGATGAAGTCAAAAGAAGGTGGGAATTATATTGTATCATTTCTCTTTTATCTTTCCAGGAGAAAAAAGTTGCATTTTGGTTCCAACATACACGTTTGTTTACTGAGGGTTTTCAGCATTATTATTAAGTTTGAGCTTTTTGAAATAACAAGTCTTATACATTTTGAAAGTAATCAGAAAAAAGTAGTTAGACACAGGGATTTTTTAGTCAGTTGGGAAACAAGTAATTTAGATATATTGAAAAGAGGAGCTCCCTAACACATTCTCAGGGTTAATTAATTACCTTTAACTCCCAAGATAAAGAATTGAAAGACTTCGGGCATTTTTTCTGAGTTTATGAAAGTACCCCCTAGCTTCCTCTGTGCATCTTTTCTAAACAGTGATTAGAAGATACACACGCTACTGACAGTTGAGACGTCACCGTGGCCAGTTGTGTGGGCTCTTCACAGCCTTTGGCGTCTGTACGTGTTTTGTGCAGACCAGAGCACTTGACATACGCTGAAGTTTAGTTTGTCATCTGGGTCAGTTACGTCCAAATATTTCCCAGTTGAAACTTCCTCCCTGCGCCGCTCTTGCCTGTGTCTGGCATGCTGCAGTAGGCCAGTCACCCTGGCGCGTGAGGGCTGCTTGTCCCCGCGCGGCCGTTGGTGCTGGAGGGAGGCTGGCTGGTCCCCGGACAGGGATTTCTGGGAAGCCTTGTTAGCTGCATTGGCCGAGTACAGGGATACCGTGGGTTTAGTGTGTCCTTGACTTTTGGGGGAGATTTCCTTCTGATCCTGGTTTCAGAGAGGAACGGTACAAAATACAGTGTATTTTTAGGAAAACCTGTATGTTATTTAAAGTAGTTGCTTTTATCAATTTAACCAGATCCCTTATCATTCTGTTATGACAGGTATAAGAATATCTGAGCGTGGTGAGTGCCAAGTTCATCTTTAAGCTTTTGTTGGTAGGCTAGATAGTAAATCAGAGAGCTTTTGTTTTGCAGACATTGTGTGGAAAACTGCATAGATACCTCTTTTATATCCGTAAAGCTTTAAGATTGGTCTCTATGGTCACAAATAAATAATGATGCTTAAGAAGGTGAGGTGACCTTTCCAAGGTCAAAGTGGTGGTGATGGAACTAAAATTTGATATCAGGACTTTCTGACTCTAGGGCCTGACCTCCAAACCCACTCTATTATAGGATCTTTCATTTCCCTTTAAAAATAAAATAAAACTAGTGTCCAGTGCTTTTTTTCATCACTTACACCAAGTTGCTGGTGAAGGTAGTTCAGGCCGTTTCCATAGGGCGGCTTCAGAGAAGTGAAAACATAGATGTTTCTGGGACCTAGTTTAAAAATAAAATTTTGATTCTCTAATAGGGGTGTCCAACCTCCAGCCTGCAGGCTGCACGCAGCCCAGGACGGCTGTGAGTGCAGCCAGCACAAAATCGTACATTTACACGATAGGAGATTTTTTTTTGATTACGTTATGCCACGTATTTAATGTGTGGCCCAAGACCACTCTTCTTCTTCCAGTGTGGTGCAGAGACGCCCAAAGGTCGGACACCGGGCCTAGGACCAAGAAAACCGAGAGAAACAGCGTGGCTTTGGGCACGGGAGCTGGTTGAGTCGATGAGAGAGGCTAACCGCTGCCATAGAAACAGGGCCTGACGGATAAAGTGGAAGTGCGTGGGAACGGCTAGGGGTTGCATGAGGCGGAGCTGGCAACGGACGGGCTCGTGCAGCCTCTGCCCTTGGCACAGGGTGTGTGGCAGCGAAGGGAGCACCAGGCCAGGCTTTTGCTGCCTTTGGTTTGACTCCTAACTCCAGCACTAAATTTCAGCTGTGTAACCTTAAACAAGTTCTCCGAGTCTCAGTGTTTTCATCTGTACAGGCTTTTTGAGAGGATTATATTAAAAAAGTAGGCGAAGAAGTTCCGGAGGGTATAATTGCCCCAACTCCGTATGTGTGGAGCTGCGTGTAGTTGGAGCTTCCTTCCACCCAAAGAATTCAGTGTGGACGCGGGAGTGGGGATGAGCTGCTCTCCGGTGGAGAAGGCTGGCAGCCACCACCTCAGCCAGGTGGCGCAGCTCGGCGTCGCAGGGGTCAGGTGTGCTGGCGGCGTGTGCCCGTGGGAGAGCGCTGAGACTGGCCCCCTCCTTCTGTGGTCTTCTTCCCTGACGCTCAGAACTGGCGTTCAGTTGTCAGAAAAACATCAGGCAAATCCAGATGGAAAGACAGGCCTCAGAAAACTGACCGGCACTCGCGCAGCTGTCAAGGCCGTCAAAAGCAAGGGACGGCCCAGAAACTCGCAGCCAAGGGGAGCCCAAGAAAACATGACAGCTAAACATAGTGTGAGGGTTTTCTGGGTGAGACCCTGGAACAGAGAAAGGACATTAGATAACAAACTGTGGAAATCAGAATGAACTGTGGAATTTACTTATTAATAATGCATCAATATTGGTTTCTTCATTGTAACAAAGGTACCATACTAATGTATGATATTAATGGGAAAAGTGACTGTGTGGTGAGGAATAGGGATGGGCATATGGGAATTCTTTGTACTGTCTGTTCAATTCTTCTATAAGTCTTAAACTTCCTCCCCAGCTGCCAAAGAAGTCTGTTAATTAAATGAAAGAGTTTTAAAGGCAGTAGCACAGACCCAAGCATGTTACACACATGCAGTGAACGTAGCTGAAGTTAAAGACCGGCTCGGTGGTGTCCTGCACTGTGCCGGGTGGGTGGGAGGCAGGGGAGGGGCACCGCGGGACGATGGTCCACTCCTCCGGGGAGGACACAGGATGGGTCCTTTCCTTCTCTCATCCCCCTGTGTGTGGCGACAGTGGAGAGTTACTGGGAGAAGCCCTGGCAGGAGGCCGGCTGGGGAGCCCGGCGGGGCTGCCCTTGCCTGTTCCTCTGTCGCTCTCAGGGGGAGCCTGGAGCGTGCGTGTTGGTTCTGGCCGCAGACCCAGACTCCAGCATTCTAAAGAACACTTCCCTGTAGAGTTTCAGTTATTTTTTCTTTCACCTTGGGTACAGCTTCTAATTTAGAGTCTCAGCCAGAAACTATGTTCACTTTTGTGCCTTTTGTGGACCTTAACCCTTTCTTCTCCTTCTATAGGTTTGTTGTCATTTGGGCTCATCCAGAGTGTGAGACCTTTGGAGTTTCTACTTGAATTGCTTTAGAGCTTTTATTTTTTAACTTTAAAAATTCCCTCAACTTCTCCCAATAATACTGTCTAATTTGCCCCATGCACT